GCGGATTTGTCTTGTCTGGGGCTGACTAGATTCCTTTCTTCTAATCTGTCTTCTAATCTGACCTCTCATCTTCTCCCGCAGCCGCTACCCACTGCTTTCCAGCTTTTCAAATCCTGTGTATGTCTGTTTTTCCCTTAGGTTTTAAAAAAGAAGGAAACAACGGAATGAATTTCGAATCAAAATGGTCAAAAATACGCTATTTCATGGCTTGAGAATAGATGCAGATTCAGAGCAAAAACTCAGGCCCCTGAAAGTGCTGAAAACATTTCACTGAGAATTCAATTATTTTCAAAATTATTATATGGTGTTTTGAACCAGTTTTAGGTGTAAGAAATACGGCCCGGCGCAGTGGCTTACACCTGTAATCCCAGCACTTTGTGAGGCAGAGGCGGGCGGATCACTTGAGGTCAGGAGTTTGAGACCAGCCTGGCCAACATGGTGAAATCCCATCTGTAATAAAAATACAAAAATTAGCCAGGCATGGTGGCGGGCGCCTGTAATCCCAGCTACTCGGGAGACTGAGGCAAGAGAATCGCTCACTGCAACCAGGAGACAGAGAATGCAGTGAGCCAAGACCGCACCACTGCACTCCAGCCTGGGCGACAGAGTGAGACTCTGTAACACACACACACGGACACACACACTATAGTAAGTCGTGTAGATACTGTTAAGAGTAGCATCTAAAATCAGAATTTATGGCCCCTGTTGCTTCTGCTGGAGGCAGAGGAAGGGATACATTGAACTGCAGAGTTCCATTAATTTGGTTTTTCCTGTAAGAGCTATACCATGTAATTGATGATACATAAGGCAATTTTAAAATGATAAATGAGTACATTAAGTAACTACAGTAATGGTATATAAATTTGTGCTATTTGGGGAAAGCCTTGTGTTAATTGGCTCTCAGGCTTGTTGCAGGTGAGTGGTGACTATCTGAGGCCAGTGGCACTGGGGTAAAAAAATTTACCAAGACAGTTGTAGGTAAAGAAAGGCAGAATCATTAGAGAAAGTATGAAAATACGTTGCAAGGGAGCAATGGGCAGAATCAGCAGAAAAGTGGCTGACTGCAAGGAAACAGAGGCTTGCTGGCGATTTTATAGAATAGTGCTTATGCTGTATACGGAAGACGGCTTTGTGCAGTACTGATGTTACAGTCCCAGGTTTTCCTTAGCCCCTGCCTCTGAAGTGACACAGTGCAAAAGCCTGCCCTGGGACAATAACAAATTGACCCAAACAGGTCTTATCTTGGGAAAAATGAGTGCTAAATGGATATAAAAAAGCATTGGTCACTTAAGCTGCATCTGTATCCTAAGTGTCACTGAGAGCTGCTGTGACAGTTCTCTGAAATTCCTGGTGTGCACTGCAGTCTTGATCAACCAAACCTGGGAATGACCACCACCAAGGAAAGGAGACACATACTACTGCCTCTGGTTCCTTTGCCTTTTCAGTACGAATATCTCAATTTTCAGATAACCTTCCGATGCCCCTTCCTTGACATTCTGAAAAGTATGGCTTATAGTAGCAGCTTATTTATTTAGAGTTGGAGTTTCGCTCTTTTGCCCAGCCTGGAGTGAAGTGGTATAATCTTGGCTCACTGCAACCTCCGACCCCCAGGTTCAAGCGATTCTCCTGCCTCAGCCTCCTGAGTAGCTGGGATTATAGGCGCCTGCTACCACGCTCAGCTGATTTTTGTATTTTTGGTAGAGATGGGGTTTTACCATGTTGGCCAGGCTGGTCTCGATCTCCTGACCTCAGGCGACCCACCCGCCTTGGCCTCCCAAAGTGCTAGGATTACAGGTGTGAGCCACCATGCCTGGCAGAAGGAGCTTATAAAGGAAATAGGAAAACAAAGTCAAGTCACTTGGAAGAGACTGACGAAAAAGTCTACAATGTAGGAAAACAAGTTGGAGAATGCAAAACCAAGAGAGGAGAAAATTTTAAGAGAAAAACTTTAGACAAATTAAATGAGTTCCACTCTGCAACTTGGCCAGGGAAGTTTTGTTGTTGTTTGTTTTGTTTTTTTGAGACAGGGTTTCACTCTGTCACCCAGGCTGGAGCACAGTGGCACAATCATGGTTCACTGCAATCTAGAACTCCAGGGCTCAAGGGATTCTCCTGCCTTGCCCTCCCAAGTAGTTGGGACTACAGATGTGCATAACTACGCCTGGCTAATTTTTTTTTTTTTTAATTTTCTATAGAGATGGTGTCTCCCTATGTTGCCTAGGCTGGTCTAAAACTCCTGGATTCAAGCAATCCTCCTGCCTTAGCCTCCCAAAGTATTGGGATTACAGGTGTGAGCCATGCCTAGCCAACAGGAAGTTTTTATAGACAGAAAAGGGAAGTGAGTTACAGAAATAGCTTGACTGATTACAGCTCCTTGTTTGAATTATTTGGCTATTGTCGGCAGCCTGCGGGCTGAAGCTCAGCTACTTGTGATTGGCTGAGAATTGGGGGTTTGTTATACTTCATGCCTGGTTTTCAGTTTGTTTGTGTACCAAGTTAGGTTGCAGTTCCTTACAATTCCTTAGGTAGGAACTCAAAGTATGGAGACAGCCTCAAGCCAATGGCCTCCTGCTTATTTAACAATTTTAAGGAAGAAATAGTCAACATTATCAACCTGTCAGTCACAACACAGCTTCTGAGTTAGAAATGGCAATGCAATCGTGTCATTTGTGTAGGGTATCATTCTCAATGGGATGACATCAAAATGGATTCCTGGGAGACAAAAAGATCTTAGATGGTTTGTGCTCCAGTGGTTTGTGGCTCTCGGTGCATAAACAGATGTACAGTATTATCTCTGGCATTAAAATTTCATGGGACTGGGGATGGCATTGTGAACAGGGAAAAAACATCTAAAAAGGTTCTTTATGGGGATGGTAATGAGAAAAAAGGTTGAGAAAGACTGGTGTCTAGTGAGTATATAATTTATCTTCCGAACTGAGACACTTCTGAGAATGGAAGGGAATGCTATTCCTATTTACGCTAGGACACAGGCATAAAGAGGATTGTCCCCATCAACTATGCGATAACTTGAAACTTCCATTAAACTTTATTATTATACTTTATTAACCCTTCTCCGTGGCTCTTTAATTTTCTCGGTTTTATAGTTATTGTTCTAATCTTTCTATCTGGAATGTAAACTCCTTAAGAACAGGCACAGTAACATACTCTTTATAATTGTGCCTCATCACTAATTTCTTCTTGAGAAATTCTGTGGTCTCGCCATATCAGACTATTTGTTATTCCCTGAACAACTCATGCTCTGGTGCCCTCTTTTAGCACAAGCCTGGGGGGGGGGGTCTGAGTTCCAGGGTGTGACTCCAGGTGCCTGTGAGCATCTACACTCACTCAACAAGTATCCCAATGGCCAAGAGAGTGTAACATTAAGTAGCAAATAAAAAACACGGTGACTGGTGGAGACACTACAGAAGAAAGGAAAATGTTTTTTTCATGCTTCTTGAACAAGAGGCCTTGCATTTTCATTTTGCACCAGGCTCTATAAATTATGTAGCTAGGTCTATATGTATTCACTTATTTGTCTCATCCCAGTAAAATAAAAGTCCGTGAGAAGAGAAGTTTTTTTTGTTTACTGCTATTCCCTAGTGAGACTAGCATAGTACCTGAACATTCTACACTCAGTAAATATTTGCTAATGAATAAAGCAGTTTATGGTATTGCAAGTATCTGGTCTGTTTCTCCAAGCAGGCTATAAGCTCTGCGAGGGTACAGGCTTCAGTATTCATCCTGGTATCCCATCCACCTAGCCAAAAGGCTGGTGGACCAAAGGTGCTTAGACATTTGTTTGATCAGTGACTTTAACAGTGAAAAACAGACAGAAGGGTGAGAACATCAGATGTCCACTTGCCCTTCCAGTCTCCTTAGGCAAAACTGAACTTGTTCTCTCCTCTGGAAAGGGATGCATCTGGCTTCATGTGAAATGTGCTCCTGGAGGACAATCTCAGATATGCTGAACTAAAACATGGGGCAAGTGGCTTATGGAGGGACCCACCCTCTCTGATTCTGAAAACCTCCAAGGAGCCCATGATGGTGGCCTGCTTGGGTAAAAGAAAAAACAAATGAAGAATGGAAGTAGAATTCAATAATATTAATATTTACAATTCATTGTCAGCAGTGTCACTTTTGATCTTTTTTTTAAAGAGACAGTCTGTTACTATGTTGCCCAGGCTGGTCTTAAACTTCTGGGCTCAAGTGATTCTCCCACCTCAGCCTCCCAAGTAGCTGCCACTCCAGACTCTGCCACCATACCTAGCTCCATGTTAGGTATTTCTAATTTCCGTTGTTTCATCTCTCCTTCCAAGACTGACTTATGTAACCTCTTTCAGAGTTTCCATCTATGCTGGATTTTTTTTAACCCTCAAGAAAACAAAACCAATTTTTATTGTGTTCCGTCATTGTTCACAATCACGCCTGTAATCCCAGCACTTTGGGAAGCCAAGGCGGGGGATTGCTTGAGCTCAGGAGTTCAGACCATCCTGGGCAAAGTGGTGACCGCATCTCTACAAAAAATTTTAAAAATTAGCCAGGCGTGTTGGTGAGTGCCTGTAGTCCCAGCTACTTGGGAGGCTGAGGTGGAAGGACTGCTTGAGCCAGGGAGGTCGAGGCTGCAGGAAGCCATGATCACACCACTACACTCTAGCCTGGGCAACAGAGCCAGACACTGTCTCCAAAAAAGAAAAAAAAAAAAAGGTAGTCAGGTTTTTCTATATCTATAACTTTCTAAATGTACATGTTCTACATATGTATCAGGATTTTCCAAATTCCTACTTAAGATACATCCTAAATACTAATGGATTATTAATGTCACAGCCAGCAAAAATTTTCTTCAGCTTTTCCTCACTAGTATAAATAGTCTGGTTGCAGTGTTGCTATCTTCTACAGATTCCAGGACGTTCTTCAGTTTCCCTTCAGGTAGAGAATATATTAAATAAATATTCACTTTGCAAATGGAGAAATATTAAATAAATAAATATTCACTCTGCAAATGGAGAAAACAAGCTTTATTATAATGATTTGAGATTTTGTGCATGGTAAAGAGATACACATGAATCTTGTTTCTCCTATGTTTCAAGACAGAATTAATTGAAAGTTTCATTGTAGACTAAAGCATCCAAAATACTGTGGTACGTATGTAGCTACGAACATACAAACACTTTGATGCACAGCGTTCATTCTTTTCTTTAAATAGGCAGTCAACATTTGGATTCATAAAAGAACAAATGACGAGAATATATCAGTATCAATGTTAGAGAGTGCAAGACTTAGTGTTCTATACACAAAACATATGAAACAGACCTATAAAGATGGAATGTACAAACTCTAAAAAGAAAACAAAGCAAAAAAAAAAACCCTTCATATTCATACATAGGCTTGAAAGTCTATAGAATTGAGAATGATATAAAGAATTCTATTACAAGAATACACTCCATTGATGACAGAACATTCCCATGTCATAAAGCAAAAGCATTGAGTTTAAGGCTGTGTTGCTTTCAAAAGTTAATGGAAGTGCTGTACATTCATTGGAACAACATAGCCAATTTATTAATCTATTCTAGAATATTAATAGCTTTCATACATTCTCCACGAACAGACCACACAATCACTGCCACACAATTCATCTTTAGAAAGTTTTTAAGATAGCATCATGATTTGTAGCTTACTGTCATTGAAAACAAAACAAATAATTCTTTATTTATACCAAACAAATCTTTGATGGGCACTTAGTTTCCTTTATGGCAATACTAGATTTCTACTTATCAAAAATATTAAAGTAATTATAAAGTTTAAAACCCTGCAACATTTACAGAAACCAACAGTATTACCACTTTTGCTTTTAAGCTAAATTAGATAATGTTTGCATGAAATAGCTTTAATTTTATCCTACCTGGAGATGTCTTGTTTTTAAATTATTAAATTATCAAACTAAAAATACTCCTCCCTTTTCAGAAGCTAGTGAATAGAGAGGATACTATAGAGTCTACAAAAAGATTTTTCCCATTTGAAGTAATCTGCAGATTACCTAATGTTTATTTACTACTTCCTCCAATTAACTAAGTAGGTATTACCAAAGCATTTCTGTTAACCCTTCAGTGCTAAGGATTCATAGATACTTGCAGTGTACTGCTATTCCAGTTAACTCCGTGTTAGGACATACCCTGTATATTTAGTAGTGGAAGCAAGTGTGTTCTAGCTGCATGGATCTGGAGTATTTATTTGCCTCAAATCTAGTCACAGTAAATTAAAATAAGGAAACTTAGGGACTTGTTTAGTTCTGGAGACTAAAGTTTGATCAAAATACTAAGTAACATTAAAAAAAATGGCATACAGTCATAAAGGACTTATAGTCATGTATTTCTGGATGGTCAAGTGACTCTCTGCCTCCCCATGTCCAGCAAGGGGGGGTGGGGGGTCTGTACTGGGAGGAAATACATCGTCACTGACCTTGAAATCCCAACTGGCAATATTTTGCCTTACGTGCCCAGGGGAAATTTGAATGAGTAATTTTTCAGTGCTACTTATCATGAATGTATGACAGGTTCTATACACTTGACAAAGAGAAATCAAACAATAATGGTAGCCCAGAAAAAAGCCACTTATTTTAATATCCTTCTCAGTTTACCAGAAACCATTTTCCATAGAATGTGACAAAATTTCATTTAAATTTTGTCTAGTTGTATCATATCAGCAGCACTTTACCCCAAAAATATGCTTACCAAGAAATACAGTAAATGCACATATGTATCCAAGTGTGAAATGTTATCTATAGTTTAATATATATAATCACATATTTTTTGGAAAAAATATAGTGTTTCCTGGAGTGCCCATAGCATGTGTTTTAGCAACACATAGTGGAGCAGGTCTGAATCAAATTATTCTTTCATTCCAGTTTATGCCAATATTGACATATAAAAAAAATTAGCTTTGTATTCAGTCTACTATTGAGATATCTAGCCTGACAGGATATGATATGATGGCTAGTTAGATTGTAAGTTAATTTCTAAGTTCACAAATATAATTTAAATGTTGTGTAAAAAACCTCTTTAAATCAACTAGTTTAAAGATCAACAGCCTGGGACAGAAAGACTCTAAATAGAAAGCCATCTTTTACTTGTGAAAATAAACTAAAATTAATGTAACCAATTTAAAAAGTTTATTTTAAACAATCTAGACAAGAGTCTAGCCTGTCTTTTGTGAAGAATGTTAGCACACAGCAAAATGAAATTCCCACCCCAGAATGTCAGCTCTGAGTGGGCAGAGATTTTTACCTGTTTTGTCTATCACTGTATTTCCAGCGCCTAAAAGAGTACTTGGTATCTTGTAGGTACTCAGTAAATATGAATGTTTAAATTCAAAGATGTATCTCACTGATGTTAGGAAACAGTGTCTTCATTTAACATTCTAAAAAGTTATTGAATTTTATAGCTTTATCACAGACAGGCTCAAATATTTTTTAAAACTCTACCTAACTAAAAAAAAGATTAAACCTAAATGTAAATCTTCCTGGAAAAGCCTTTTTTCAGAGGCTGATTTGGGCATAATAAATTTAATAGGCAATTTGAAGTAGCTAGATTTCCCTTCTAAATTTTAAGAAGTCCTATATAGAGAATGACTGAATTATAAATTAATAAGCAATAAACATCACATTCATATACATAGGGGAAACGTTTTCTTATAGTACAGTTCTAAGGTGCTTTCAGTGAAGAAGACCCCAAGTCACCATCAAAAATGTCAAACATGACATCCTATTTGGTAGAACTGAGTAGAAAATTAAACAGTGGAAATAGACCACAGCTTGTTTTACAGTACCAATGACAGATGCACGATTGACTAAATTGTTCTTAACATTTCTCAAAATGCATTTATATTTAAATTAAATGTAACTCAAGTTCAACTTTTCTTTTGACCTGTTGGGTTTTTTTTCTTTTTTCTTTTTTTTTTTTTTTTTTGAAAGCACAGAAGGCCATTTTCTGACTAAAAGTCAGCCACCACCATCATTCCTGGAAAAATGGCAAAAATTAAATCTGCTTTAGGGCTTGCTCCACTAGGACGGCTTTAAACTGCTTAGTAAAGGAATGTGCTGAAGAATGGCTGGACGAAGCTTCTGTCTTTCAGAGTGCTGCCTATTTCAATACACCAAAGATTCAGCTATATATGTGTGTGTGTGTATATATATATATATATATAATACATTCTATCTTACCCTAATCATGTATACATAGTCCCTTGACACCTCTACTATTCATTAAACAATGATAAATAACCATAACATGCCCTTACCTGTAATGCTTTCAAGATAACACAACTTTGGTAACACTTGCTTTCTAAGGGGAAATCATTTATCAATCACATGCCTTTGGTTGACACCATCAGTCCTCCAAAGGGCTACTCATGGCTCTCTGTCCTAGGATACTGGTGTCCTACTACATGTGCTGACATTTGCAGGAGGTAAAGCTTTCGCTTTCATGAAGTCGAAGAGGAGAGACACGTGTGAAAACATGGTACACAAAACATGACTAACTTTTTTTGATTACATTCCAGTGCAATGATCTGGAGTTAATGGGGCAGTTTGTTTCCCAAAAGGTAGCATTACTTTTGTAATATGCTTTTCAAAGCATTAGAAATTTCAGGTTTCCCTGAAGATGTACTTTGTTTTCTGATACAAGGTGAGCCGAAAAGAGGTGGTGAAAAGAACACACAAAAAAGGATCTTTGTCTAACCCAGAAAGGTTGAGAAATTTGCACTGATTCTTAAGTACTGAACTCCAGAGGCCTCCTAATCAGAGCTGGGATCATTTTGCAAGACAGCCTTTCTTTTTCTAAAGTAATTTGTATGTAGTTGCTGATAACCAAAAAAATGTCACAAGAGTAATACCTACTGTAAAAGTGAGGTTAGAAGATTCCCTGGGTCTTGTGACCTAGGTTAAATGAAGTATATAACTACAATAGATTTTGTTTTTGTTTTGCTTTTGGAAGTTCTGTGCAAAAGCTACCATTCACAGGATTAACAAATACCTTTACATATGCTAGTGTTTTTTTTTTAAGTGTCTGATTTGCAAAATTAGTTTAGCTACATAAATCCTGTCCCTTAAGCCATAGTTCACAGATGTAAAACTGCAGTTTATAGATTCAGTAGAAGAGTTTTTTTTTTAACCCTAAAGGTGAAATACAGAAATTGGATAAGCAGTTTTTAAGGAAATTGTTACATTCAGAAATAACCTTGGAAAGTTCACCAATGATTCCTTCTGGCATAAAAATCCTAGTCATAATCTGGTCCCACACTGAGAAATCCATTCCAGTTTATAGTGCAAGACCTTGAAAGCGGGTATCCAGCTGCCCATTACTGTAAGTATCGATAGACTTTGAAACAGTGATTTCCAGAGTCTGCAACCACAACATGACCATCTGAAGTTAGGGCCAGGCCTTGGGGGCCATAGAGTGGGTCAGCAGATGTGTTAATGTAGGACAAAAATGATCCACTCCCATCAAAAACCTGTAAACAAATAGGAAGTCAGAATGTTATAGGAGAAGTTATAGTAATATGCTGAACATGAGTTAGAAAACTCTTGATGCTAGTGTTTTTCTGTTTCTTGTTTTTTTTTTTTCTTTTTTTTTTTGACAGGGTCTCACTCTGTCACCCAGGCTGGTGTGCAGTGGTGTGAAGACAGCTTACTGTAACCTCTAATTCATGGGTTCAAGTGATTCTCCTGATTCAGCCTCCCAAAGTGCTAAGATTACAGCCATGAGCCATCATGCCCAGTGTATATGCTTTTATACTGAAAACATTAGCATAAGCCAGGTGCAGTGGCTTACACCTGGAATGCCAGCACTTTGGTAGATGAAGTTGGGAGGATCCCTTGAGGCCAGGAGTTTAAGAACAGCCTGAGGAAAATAGCGAGACCCTGTTTAAAAAAAAAAAAAAAAAACAAAAAAAAACAAAACAAAAAATGCACTTAAGTAATCATCTATCCATCTATGGATATGTCTTTGCTTATGTCACTATCATATCTATAATCCTGCTCTCCACTTACCTTGCCTTCTCTCCTCTCCCGATCTATTTCCAGTTGGTGGAGTAGAATATGCCATTGGCTGCTAGCCTATAGTGGTCACAACAAATATTGGGTGGGAAGGGCCCTAGATGGTGCTTAAAAAATGAATGAACCTTACTGTTCACTTTAAATCTTCACTTATTCCCACTTCCAGTCTCACATCTCCTTTTCCTCTCCCCCCCCAATTATAAGGGGAAAAAATCAGCAACTAGATAATGGAAGAATGTTCCTGAGTCATAACAGCAATGAGACAGTAGAAATTGTTTTTTCCTTTTTAGAAAAGAGTGGGTTGTAAGAAGTCAATGGTTCAACATGTAAAGTCATCCCCTGGTATCCCAGGAGATTGATACCAAAATCTTCAGATTCTCGAGTCCTTTATATAAAATAGCCTAGTATTTGCACCTAACCTATTCACATCCCCCCACATATTTTAAATAATCTCTAGATTACTTCTAATACTTAGAGCAATGTAAATGCTATATAATGTAAATAATATGATGTATTTTTACAATTTGTATTATTTTTAATCACTGTATTTAACAAATTATTTTTCCTGAAATTTCTGATCTGTGTTTGGTTGAATTCACAAGTGTGGGATTTGCGGGTACGGGGGGGATGATCATACATTTGGATGTGAAATCACTTTCTTTTGGTCTGTCGGTTTCTGCTTTGTTATTTTTGTTAAATTTTTATTTTGAAATAATTATAGATTCATAGGAAGTGGCAAAGATAGTAGAGAAAGGTTCTGGGTACTCTTCACTCAGTTTCCCCCAATGGTCACATCTTCTGTAATTATAGTACCACACAAAACCCAATACATTGACTTTGGGTTGTGTGTGTACAGTTTTACGTCATTTTATCATGTGTGTAGATTTACCACTGCAACCAACATACAGAATTATCCCATCAACATAAAGATCTCCCTCTTGCTACATCTTTATGGTCATACTCACTCCCCTTTCCTCACATCTCTAATCCTTGCCAATCACTAATCTGTTTCCCTTCTTTATAATTTTGTTATTTTTTTTGAGAATGTTACACAAATAGAATCATATAGTATGTAACCTTCTGAAAATGGCTTTTCTTCACTCAGCATCATGCCCTTGAGATGCATCCGAGTTGTTGAGTGTATCATTAGTCTGTTCCGTTTTAATGCCAAGTCATATTCCATAGTATAGATACACCAGTTTGTTTAGTCATTAACCTATTGAAAGACATCTGGGTTATTTTCAGTTTTGGGCTATTACAAATAAACCTTGTATGAACAACAATGTGCAGGTTTTTGTGTGGATGTAAGTTTTCACTTCTCTGGGACAACCAGGAGTATAATTTATGGGCTGTGTGGTAAGTATATGTTTAGTTTTTAAAGAAACGGCCAAACAATTTTCCAGGCTGACTGTAGTTTTGCATTTCTACCAGCAATGCATGAGCGATCTAGTTTCTCTACATGCTCTCCAGTGTTTGGCATTATTAGTATTTTTAATTTTGGCTATCCTTATAAGTGTGCAGTAATATTTCACCATGGTCTTAATTTGTACTTCCCTAATGTCTAGTGATATTGCACATCTTTTTATGTAAACATCCTCTTTGGTAAAATTTCTCTTAATGCCTTTTGCTCATTTTTCTTTTCTTCCTTTTTTTTTTTTGAGATGAAATTTCATTCTTGTCAGCCAGGCTGGAGTGCAATGGCGTGATCATGGCTCACTGCAACCTCCACCTTCTGGGTTCAAGTGATTCTCCTGCCTCAGCCTCCCAAGTAGCTGGGATTACAGGCACACACCACCACATCCAGTTAATTTTTGTATTTTTAGTAGAGATGCAGTTTTGCCATTTCGCCAGGAAATGGTCTCAAACTCCTGACCTCAGGTGATCCACCTGCCTTGGCATCCCAAATTGCTGGGATTACAGGTGTGAGCCACAGCACCCGGCCACCTTTTGCTCATTATTCTAATTGGATTGTTTGATTATTTTACTAATGAATCTTGAGAATCTTTACATTCTAGGTATAATTCCTTTGTCAGAAATTCAGTTGGTAAATATTTTCTCTCAGTCTGTTGCCTGTCTTTTTAGCCTCTTAAAGGGATCTTTCACAGAGCAAAAGCTTTTATTTTTATGAAATCCAATTTGTTAATTGTTTTTCTTTTATGGATTATAGTTTGGGTATTATGTCTAAAAACTCTTCACGGAGCCCTAGGTCCCAAAGATTTTCTCTTAAATTATTCTAAAAGTTTATCTCCTCAAACATTATCTTCTAAAAATGTTATAGTTTTATCTTTTACAGTTAAATCTACGGTCCAATTTGAGTCAACTTTTTGTACAAATTAACGTTCATTTTTTTTTTCCTCTGTGGTGGTCTTAGTTGTTCCAGTCCCATTTGTTGAAAAGGCCATCATTCCTCATACAAAATTGCTTTTGTATCTTTGTCAAAATACAATAGGCTGTACAACTGTGGGAGTGATTTCTAGATTCTCTATTCTGTCCCACCGATGTATGTGTCTATTCCTCCACCATATTACATAGGCTTGATTATGGTAACTATATAGTAAGTCATATAGCTTACCCTATGGGTTAGTAAGGGTAGAGTGATTCCTCTCAATTTATTCTTCTTTTTCAAAATTATTTTAGCTATTTCCTTTCCCTTGCCATATAAATTTTAAAATAAGATTTATATTTGCAAAAAGTGCTGCTGAGATTTTGTATTAAACCTGCATATTAATTGAAGACAACTGACATCATTGTTGAGTCTTGCAATCTATGAACACAGTTGTTTCTCCATTTACTTAGACGTTCTTTGATTTCTTTTGCCAGCATTTTATAGTTTTCAGCATACAAATATTGAATATGTTTTGTTGTTACACCTAAGTATATATTTTTTCAGTGATTCTAAATGGTATTGTGTTTTTAATTTTGGTTTTCACTGTTTGTTGCCAGTTTATAAAAACATAATCGATATTTTTGGTTTTTCTTAAGAGACAGGGTCTTGCTCTGTCACCCAGGCTGTAGTGCAGTAGCACAATCATAGCTCACTGCAGTCTCCAACTCCCAGACTTAAGGAATCCTTCTGCCTCAGCCTTCTGAGTAGCTGAGCCTATAGACATGTGCCACTATGTCTGGCTAATCTTTGTATTTTTTTTGTAGAGATAGGGTCTTCCTGTGTTGCCCAGGCTAGTCTCAAACTCCTGGCCTCAAGCAATCCTCCCACCTTGGCCTCCCAAAGTGCTGGCGTTACATGCATGAGCCACCATGCCCGACCATAATTGATTTTTGTAAGTTGATCTTGTATTCTGCAATCTTGCTGAACTCACCTATTGTAGGAACTTTTTTTGTAGATTACTTGGGATTTTCTATGTAAACATCATGTTATCTGCAAGCAGGGAGAGTGGTTAATTTATTCTATTCTAATTTGTAAGCTTTTTATTTCCTTTCTACCTTTTGTGCTGGCTAGAACTTCTAGTATTATATTGAACAAGAATGGTGAGACATCCTTGCAGACATCCTTGCTCTACAGGGAATGCATTCAGTCTTTTACTATGAACTATGGTGTTAGCTATAGGTTTTCATAGATGTTGTTTATCAAGTTGAGAGTCTTTCTTCTTAGTTTTCTGAGAGTTGAATGGGTATTAAATTTTGTTAAATGATTTTTCAGTGTCAATTGATATGATCATTTAGTTTTTCTTCTTTAGAATTTCAATATGGTGGATTATTACATTGACTGATTTTCTTTATTTTTATTTTTATTTTTTAAAGGGCAGCCTCCCAAGCCAGAGTAGCTCAGAGACTCCCTGATTTTCTAGTACTAAACTAGTCTTGCATTCCTGGAATAAACTCCACTTGGTCATGGAGCGATTTTTACATATTGCTGAATTATATTTGTTAATATATCTTTAAGAATATTTACACACAGGAGGAATATTGGTGTGTAGCTTTCCTTTTTGTACTGGCTTTGGTAACAGGGCTTCAAAAGCTGATTGGAAAATGAGTTGGGAAGTATTCTCTTATCTTCTATTTTCTGGAAGAAATTATATACAATTGTTACTAAATTCTTTAAACATTTGGTAGAATTCCATGGTGAAATCATCTCAGTCTAGACATTTCTTTTTGGTGTTTTAAAATTATGAATTAACTTTTCTTAATAGGTTAGAGGGTTATTCAAATTATTTCATACTGAAGTTGTGGAGTTGGTATTTTTTGAGAAGTTGTCTATTTCATCTAAGTTGTCAAACTTATGTATGCAGAGTTGTTCACAGAATGCCTTTATTATCCTTTTGATGTCTACAGGACATGTATTAATATTAGTATTTTGTGTCTTTTATTTCCTTTGTCAGTCTTGCTAGGGTTTTGCTGGTTTATCTTTTCAAAGAGCCAGTTCGCTATTTCATGGATTTTCCCTATTGCTTTTCTTTTTTGAATTTCATTTTTTTTTTTTTTAATTTTTTGAGACAGAGTCTCCTTCTGTTGCCCAGGCTGGAGTGGCTCACTGAAGCCTCTGCCTCCTGGGTTCAAGTGATTCTCCTGCTTCAGCCTCCTGAGTAGCTGGGGTTGCAGGCGCCTGCCACCACACTTGACAAATTTTTTGTATTTTTAGTAGAGTCAGGATTCCACCATGTTGGCCAGGCTTGTCGCAAACTCCTGACCTCAAGTGATCTGCCTGCCTTGGCCTCACAAAGTGCTGGGATTAAAGGCGTGAGCCACAGCACCCCACCTTTAATTTTAGCCTTGCTTCCTTCTGCTTGTTTGGGGTTTGCTCTTTTCTTTCTAGCTTCTTTGAGGTGGCAGCTTAGATCATTGATTTAACATGTTTCCTCTTTTCTAATAGAAGTATTTAGCATATTAATTTCCCTCTCAGCATTGTTTTTGCTAAATTCCACAAATTTTGGTATGTCCTATTTGCATTTTCATTCAGTCCAATATATTTTACAATTTTCCTTGAGACTTCCTCTTTGACTCATGCGTCATTTAGCACAATAGTGTTTTTAAATACATAAAACAAAACACATGGATTGTAAAAAATCATATTAAAATATAGCTATTGAAATATTACTAAATTATGATAGAGCAATATGGGTGTGCTTCTAAAAATTAGCATATTAAATAATAAGAAATAGTAATGGGTCTAATAATTACTGTAATTTTGAAGTAGTGATGAGAATAAGTGACAATTCAAGATTTTTGCAACTGATTTGATATGAAAATTTCTGTGATTTTTCTTGGTGACAAAGTCACAGGCATTACTAAAATTACTATGATTGTTGCTTATATTCATGATTAAGGGAAATGATAATTTTCAGCCAGAGGTTCATAAAAATAATAATGTAATATTTTTGTTCAATGGCCCCCTTGAATTCTATCTTCAGACCCTTTGCGGGGTCAGTGGGGTCCAGGTTAAAACCCCGATTTAGAGGATTTCACTCTGGTAACATTTTTTCTACTCCATCTTGCTGAGTTTGGTCCTTCTGGTGAGAGTATCTATGGTCCTATATCCTAACCAAAGGAAAAGAGAAACATTCCAGTTTGGGGGACAGCAAATTCTTCACTTTTAACAAATGCCAAACACTCTAACCATATACATTAGCACGTTGATCTACCTGGATCCTGCTGTTTCCCCAGTCGGCCACAATGATGTTTCCATTTGAATCCACTGCTACACCTGTTGGAGCATTAAACTGCCCATTTCCTTCTCCATTTGAGCCAAACTTCAACATGAATTCTCCTTCCTGATTAAACACCTGTATGAAATATTGTTAAATTATTTTGTTTTACATAGAAATACTTGAATCAACATTATGGATTAAAAAATATCTGTTTGAGTAGGTTATTTATAACAAGATCTATGATTTAAGACATTCTAAAAAAAGAAAATAAAATCTACAAGATAGACTGCATATCATTGTGTTTCCCCAAATTACTGTATAAATCTGATTTATCATTTGTTAAATGATCATTTTTTTTGGCTTATGTCTGGTTATTAAATCCTTATGTGAAAGATATCTTTATTGTAAATTATAATACTATACAAGTTAGTATGAGTAAGAAGCTCTATAATTTTCAATAATATTATTATTCCCACCTTTAAAGAAATTGCTAAATTTCAAGAATGGGCATTGTATTGATATTTCTAACAGGATGGATGACTATTAAAAGTTGGATCAGAGAGTAGGAGTTTTTTGTTATGCCAGATGCTCAGAATTTATTATCATTTTACGACATCAACATAACTAGAAAGAGTAGGCTGGACTTCATACTTAGAATGGGAGAAATTCATTGCATGTGTGTGTGCACATGTGTGGTAGCAGCAGGTGAGAAATAAGAAAAGGGCTTTTTTATTTATCCTCAGAAGATATTTTAGTTCGAGAGTTTATATAATCCTAAGGGTTTGATGAATAGAAAAGTAGTTTCTATTACTCTATTTTCTATTACTCTTTTATCTCTCAGTAGAGAGAAGGGAAGCTGTTAGAAGAAGGGAGCTCAACAGAACTCTTAAGCAAATTCTCTAACATCTGATATGGCTAAGCAGTGGAGTGCTATGGTTAATTACATATTCTTACTAATAAAGTGCTACTAAATATGTATCAATACAGATCACTGATTTTGAAAAAAATGTTAATGTTTAATGATAACACTATAGTAAGCATAATTGTATCTTGATGATTCAGATGATACCTAATGGTTTTGAAATGTCTCCAGGACATTATTTTTAACTTCCATTGTCATGATGCCTAGATGCATAGAAATATTCATTAACAAGTCAGAAAGTATTATGTACAAGGCACTTTGAGAGTAAGGTTTTCTCAAATGTAGAACTGAAAGAGTTCACTACATTTGAGTGTAGATCTTCATTTGGGGATGATCTCAAGACTTTTTAGAATGTCACTTGTTGTCATCTCTGATTACAAAAGATCAAAATGACCATTACTTTTAGGTAAGTACCTTGGGAAAGTAGGACACTTCCATCTCTACAGGCTAAACTCACATTACGATAAAAAGAAAGAGTCATGGCTACTTCCTGAATTAATTACATACTTGCCAAGAAAGCAAGCAACCTCTACGGTTCTTTAGAAAGGAACAAGGCAAGAACAACCAGCTTTTACTAAGATGCCATGTTTAAATTGTTTTTCTGACTCTTTTTGTCTCCTTTTACATAACACATTCTAGTTTTAAAGACCAATGGGAACATGTTTATGGTGGACACAATTTATTATTCTCTATTTTTTCCCTTATTAAGTCCTACAAATAATCTTTTTGTTTATCTTTCCTTTCTTTTTTTTTTTTTTTTTTGAGATGGAGTCTCATTCTGTCACTCAGGCTGGAATGCAGTGGTGCAATCTTGGCTCACCACAACCTCCACTTCCCGGTTCAAGCAATTCTCCTGCCTCAACCTCCTGAGTAGCTGGGATTACAGGCGCCTGCCATCACGCCCGGAAAATTTTTGTATTTTTAGTAGAGACAAGGTTTCACCCTGTTGGCCAGACTGGTCTCGAACTCCTGACCTCAGGTGAGCTGTCCGCCTTGGCGTCCCAAAGGGCTGGGATTACAGGCGTGAGCTACTGTGCTCAGCCTTATTTATCTTTCTGAGTCAGACATAATCCAAATGACTCAAGTGGTTTTGCTTCATTTTGGGATAAGAAGGATGCCAAATCTAGTCTTACTTGTTTTGTGATGAAAAGAAAATATATTCTGCAGACAGCTAAGGAGCTAACTAGACCCCTTGTTAGCACTGACCTATAGATATTTTTTTATACTTATCAACAGAGAAGTGACCTGAATTCAGAACTATTGCTAACTGCCCAGCATTACATGGGAATGAAAAACCCAAGTAATTCCATAAAACTTATTTGGCAATAGTTGTCAAAAAGAAGAGAAACGACAACAACGAAAGGCTATGGTTTTTTTAAACAAGAAGAAAATTGAGTTTAAATAAATAGCTAAAATAATCTACTTCTACCAAACTGAAAACTTGAAGAGTTTTCAGAATCTTAAGAATTATGAATGTTTCGTATTTTCTATTTTTCCCGATTAAAATGCCATTACTTAAAAATTATTCACATGAAAAATTAAGAGGCAGAAGTATGAGTTTAGTTTTTTTTAAAGTTTTGCTTTTTACAATAAATATATAAAGCAATTTTTTTAAAAAAACCACCTTGATGATAGCCCTTTCCTGATTTCAAAATTCTGCTCATGTCAAATATCAGCTCCGCTTGGAAGTCTCCCCTGATAATCTTAATTAGGGAAATCTTCTCTTTTCTTTTGGAAAGTTAGGAAGCTTTATATGTGCCTATTTTATGAAACTATTTAGTGCTACCTGCCTTGCATTTCAGTTACTTATATATGTTTTAATTCTTTCTATAGTGTCAGCCAGGAGTGGTGAATAGGAGCCATCCCACATACCAATGCCAGTTGATTCTTAGAGGTTACCTGGAGCACTGGACAGGAAAGGCTCTGAGATCACAGTTCCACTTAGTAGAGAAGAGCAACTTGATTAATTATGACTGTCTTTCAGCTGGGAGTGGGCAGAACCTATGCAAGCATTTGCTGGCCTTTGTACTGTTAGGATCTCATATGGGTTTTCTTCTTGCTGAATGCCCTGTAGTTATATGAATGATTCCTCTACGAAGTGAGTGAGAGTAGGAAGTATGAGAACAACCTGTGTTATCCTTTGACAGTTGTGCTCATTCTCCAGGACGGTTATAACCCCCCCGGGGAGGCAGTCCCCAGCCCGGTTCCTGCTGCCTCTTTGCTCTCTACTCCCATCTCTCTTTGGCTATCAACTTTTTCCACTATCCTATTCCTTTTACCAAGACACTTCCCATGGACAGTAGTGTCGGCAGGGAATGCAGATTATCTGCATTTGAGTGTAGGGGGACCTATGCCACAACGTGAGCATCTCTGGAGAGACAATATGGCAGGGAGCAGTTTCAGAAAAAAGCAACAGTGGGCACCTTGTTCCCTTATCCTGACCCCATTTCTGCAGCCCACTGTGCGCTACTGTCTGCACAGGGACTTGGCACCCATCAAAAAGGTCCAAGCCCTCTCCATTTACTCAGGTTAAAGGCTTTCCAGGATGCGGAAAGGACATCACAGACAGTACCTTTGGGTGTTAAAAATCTTACCCCTTATCTAGCTCTCCCAATCATTAGCATTGATAAGTCATTATTTATTTTGGTTGCTCAATCATTTTCTCTAAGTGCAAACTTTACTCACTGGCATCCTCTGCTGTTTCCTTATTATTTTTCCTTTAAAATGACTCACCTTTTGAAATTTAAATGAATGTATTTAAAAGAAAAACTTTATTATGTCTATAAGTACAAAACAGCATCACTTGATGTAAACAAAAGGTAGCACTAAAATAAATGCATAACTTAAAATAAAAATATCTACGGTGCACTGCCTATGGTCACTGATCATACCTTCAGTGGAACATGCATCACACCTTGAGAAGCTTGATCTAGGATATTACTAAATATTTTCTCATCATTTCAGCAAGTGAGTAATTTGTTTTGAACCATTTTATTATTTCCTGATTTTCTCATAATAAAGTTCAAATCTCTCTCCCCTGGTACCTAGTAAGAAAGATATACTATGGGTCACTGTTTTCTAAAGAACACCAAATGTGTGAAAGCATTCTAAGAAGTATAAAATATATGAATGTATGCTAGGGTTATCCCCCTCCCCATGCCATCTGTTGTAACAGAGCCAAATACCTATTTTTTTTAAACAAAAAGATGCAGAAAATTGAAAAAGTGATTTTAATTTATTGACTAGCCACAAAATATTAAGCTTCAGAAAGTTCTGCCTCTAAGTTCAATGAACTGCTTTTTAAAATTTAATTTTCAAGTCCTCTTCATTTGCACCAATTTCAAATTAAGCAACTTATTGCCACCACATTTTGTTCAATTTCCCAACTTTCCAAGGTCTGTAAGTCCAAATTAAAACCGGCATCTTTGAGCAGAAGCAAAGTCTACTCTTCTGGTTAACTCCCTTTGGTGCCATATGTAAGTACTGCATTATTTTCTCGCAGACCAATTTCTCCATAAAAGCAGTTAAAAGTTAACAACAACTTATGTGCTTATAGTACCTTGACAGAATGATTATGGAAATCTGTAATAATAATCTCATTATTGCTATTTACAGCTGCAAAATGGGGACCTGCAACAAAGATGGAAAAAAATACGTGATGACTACAACAAAAGTGATTACATATAGCAGTTACTGTAACAATCACACAATATATTAACTTAGTTATTTAAGCAAGTACAAAGAATCACAGACTCAGTCTTTGAAAGATCATTCAGCCAGACCTCCAGCTCCAGATAAATGGATCCTATATTATTCTCTGCTTGTGCCAGTCTATTCTGACTCCTTCCCAATCAGGCTGGGAGTTCTAGCAGCCCTAATGAAGTGGGAGGAGCAGTAAGCATCAGAATTCATTCTCCGTGCCACCATCTGAAAGTCAATCTGCCAGCTTCCCTGAGTATCTGTTAGTCATTTTAGAGCCCTCAGCTCCCACCGAGGAAAGACGTGGCAACTCAGCATTGGAAAAGGGACTCCAATATGTAATTTTAAAAAACTTGATCAGCTGGGCATGGTGGCACACGCCTATAGTCCTAGCTACTTGGAGGGCTGAGGCAGGAGGATCACTTGAACCCGGGAGGTTTAGGCTGCAGTAAGCTGAGATCATGCCACTGCTCTCCAGCCTGGGTGACAGAGCGAGACCCTGTCTCAAAAACAAAACAAAATGAAACAAAAGAACAGAAAACCCACACTATAATTCTGGGTGACATTCAGAACCTTGGCAGAACTGGAAACAAAGCACAAACAAATATTATGCAAATTAAACTAAGTGCCAAAAGCATCCTTTCAAAAAGAAAATTAATAAGCTATTTTCAGCCTCTTCTTGCAGATGCAAAAACCTAAATAAGCTTGTGATTGCAAAGTGCTACACCAAAGAGACGTAAAACAGACTGCCCTCCTTAAACCTAGCAAATATTCTAGACTCCTGTTCTCTTACAATAACCTAGAAAGGTGAAAAAAAATTCTCATTCAGTGGCTTTTTAAGCAAAGCTACAGCTAGGCTGAAACAGTAGCTATTCCCTTGTTTTTCAAATATTTTTATTTTAAAATTTATACCTTATTTAATATGAATATTTCAAAGCTAGACTTCTGAGTTGTGAACTGCCACCAATAAAAACCACACATGGACTACAGCTCAACTTACTGCCGGGTGGGTGGTGGTGACTGAGAAGCAACGAACCATGCTTTTACTTAGATTTTATCCCCAGCATCTTTCCCAAAGCCAGCAAACACATTAGGTATGCGGTGTCTTCAACATGCTCCAACATCATGCAAATGTGAGCAGAAGAAACATAAAAAAGGGGGTTTACATATTACCATCGAGTGTACCTGCAAACTGCCTGTCCCCATTTCCTCGGCTACCAAACCTGGTGACTATTTTCCCATTTGGCTGGAAGATAAACACGCAGCACGCTTTGTTGTCCACAACAATAATGTGCCCATTGCGGTCCACAGAAACTCCTTTCGGTCCCATCAGCTTTCCTGATCCAATTTTTGTCTGTTAGAAACAAGTACAGAAATAGAAGTAGAGTATAGAGTCAAAGTTTAAACCACTACAGAACATGAAGATAAACACCGTTTTGGTCAACATTTACCTGAAGGTTCAAGCAGGTACACAGCTACTCATACATCACAATGAACTTCTGTCTTGGAAAACTGGCTTTGTCACATCCATTATCTGCTACTGATATCTATATAAATCCTTGTTCTTTTATTTATTTATTTATTTGAGACGAAGTCTCATTCTGTTGCCCAAGCTGGAGTGCAGTAGCACAATCTCGGCTCACTGCAACCTCCACCTCCCGGGTTCAAGCAATTCTCCTGCCTCAGCCTCCTGAGCAGCCGGGACTACAGGCGCGCACCACCATGCTCAGCCATTTTTTTTTTGTATTTTTAGTAGAGACAGGGTTTCACTTTGTTGGCCAGGCTGGTCTTGAACTCCTGACCTCGTGATCCACCCGCCTCGTACTCCCAAAGTGCTAGGATTACAGGCATGAGCCCCCATGCCCAGCCCCTAAAATCCTTATTCTTGAAAGAGATCACCACCAAAAATAGTCTAGGATCCCCTAAACTGGGGTCACAGTTCCCTGCTGAAGAGGCAGTGTGGTCTGGTGAAAGATCACTGGATTATGACTTGGAACTTTGCTTGACGGAACTTCCATTGCTTGACTTAAACACACCTGGAGTAGCACAGATGGATTTCATTTCCTCAAACTTCAGATTCCTTATACATTAAAAAATGTCCAAAAAATGACAACTCGACAACTCCCTATGGCATTTTTGGAAGATGTATTAAGTAGAATAAGGTAGGTAAAGGGTTTATTGTAGAGTGTAGCACATAGCAAGCAGTCACTGTAGGGAAGCCATCACTGTCATTGTTATAGATCATAATTAATATCAAAATTGCCCAAGCACTTCATGTCTAAAACACCAAAAGCAACGGCAACAAAAGCCAAAATTGACAAATGGGATCTAATTAAACTTAAGAGCTTCTGCACAGCAAAAGAAACTACCATCAGAGTGAAC